TAACCTCTCGAGGTTTCATGAACGTTCTAGAAGTGCATGACGTGTTACTAGCGTCACGTGACCTCCGCTGTTGTAACAGTATATTAGTGTTGATGTTTTGTTCACAAATGTTTCAATATAAGTGATACTTAAGTTTGAGATTTTACTTATATATACTAAAGACAGTATATTAGTCTATGATGAGAAGTGAGTTTTATATAACACTGATTTGTAACTGATTATTTATATATATGTGTGTATACATATGATTATCTATCTATAAAGTGTAAATGAAAGATAATTCATGTTAAGGTAACAATTTCAAAATCTACGTGAAGAAATATATCTGTTTTGAAATAATCAAAGAATGATCAATTGATTTATAACTAAACGTTCTTTTACAATTATGATTGTTAACTCTAACTTGTGAACAAGTTTGTCAATATTACCTGGAAACAATATATTCTGTTACTGCATAAGTACATAATGTATAATTAAATCTCATACATTTTACATGTTTATGTAAACTAAGTAAATATCATAAATTAGAACTGAATCAATCTCTCATTTTGAAAATTATTCTAAGCCGACTGACACAGTCTGAACTTTTGACCTTTTGCTGCATGTCGTGAACAGTATGCAATAATTATCAGCTAACTAACAGTTTATTTGAATTGTAAACATGGTGGATTTATAAAATCTGAGATAGAAGATATATATTTTCTTGTCTAATATTTTAAGAAGCTTGAAAGATACGGAACTGGAATTTCTGGTTTATCTGTCCATTTTGTGGAAACAAATGCAATACCTGTTTTTCTCGATCAAAGTATCGGTCAAAATAGTATATGAGTTATTAGGGATACATCATGTAATAAGGTAGTATATGAGTTATTAAGGATACATCATGTAATAAGGTAGTATATGAGTTATTAAGGATACATCATGTAATAAGGTAGTGTATGAGTTATTAGGGATACATCATGTAATAAGGTAGTATACGAGTTATTAGGGATACATCATGTAATAAGGTAGTATACGAGTTATTGAGGATACATCATATAATAAGGTAGTATACGAGTTATTGAGTTATTAAGGATACAACGTGTAATAAGGTAGTATACGAGTTATTAAGGATACAACGTGTAATAAGGTAGTATACGAGTTATTAAGGATACATCATATAATAAAGTAGTATACGAGTTATTGAGGATACAACGTGTAATAAGGTAGTATATGAGTTATTAAAGATACATCATGTAATAAGGTATTTAACTTTAGATGCGACTTTTCCACCCGAACCACGAACTTGGATATTGACCAACATGTGACTAATAAAGGGTCAAAACACTGGTCACCCTTTGGCATCTCTTCTTAGAAAGATCCTTTTTTCTGGATACACACACACACACATATATATATATGTGTGTGTGTGTGTGTGTTTGTGTGCGTGTAAAATATCTCCAAACAAATAATTTTGATGAGTGTTCTATTTGTTTTGTTTACAGAAATGTATTATATTTACATGGTCATATGACTGAACATTTAAATATCCCCCAGTTACTACTTCACTGGGCCATTGGTATTATCCAAAATAGGAATTATGTATTTCAAATGAGAATTCGGATAGAAGATGAAGGCTATTTTTCTTCTGAAGAAAACGAGTTTATTTAAATGTATGAAAATTTAAAGGTCCTTTTTAGGACCATCACATTAAGGGAAAAGAGAAAGCTGTTATTGCACATATCGCCTCTACTGATGAAAAGCTTCCCACCTTTTATATTTACAGTAAACATCACCTTTGAGAGTGTAAATCGGAAGGTCATCTAGCAACAACTTCAACATTCTGAGGTGTTTTTTGCAACCACATTCAGCAGATGTATGAAGGTGCAACTTGCCAGATTATTCATAATGGAAAGCTAACTGATCCCCCCCCCAAATTCTGACTGGAGTGAGACAAGGCTGTCTGTTTGTGATTGACTGGCCCATGTGTGAAACAATGAAGCAAAGCAGAGCTGGTATACAATGGTCATTCATACCAAAACAGAAGAATGAAGATTCACAATAAGAAGGACGAGGCTATCACAGTGAATGGGAATAACTGAGTTGCATTGTCTTCATTACCAGAAGCACAGATGAAGACATAAAAATGAGAATAGAGAAACGGCCCGTGCCTTCAACACTATATAGTCAGTTTTGAACCCAAAGGCTTTCTGAAACATAGAGAATAAACACCAACACATTTTTGAAACTCCAGACTTTCCTCAAGTGATGTCTATGAAACATCTTGCGAAATTAAGTGAAAATAAACCATCAGTAACAACGAATTGTGGTAAATAACCAACTAAGATCCAATCATCACTCAAACTGCCAAAATAATATTGGGCTAGAATGGACATATTCTCAGGAAAGTAGTGGACACCATTACCAGACAAGCTCTCGAATGGAACCCACAACGCAAAAGAAAATTGGATCATTCGAAAAAGACTTGGAGAAGACTGGTTGATGAGGATATGAGGATTGTGGGAACGATTTATGGTGAAGTGAAGAAGGCAGTCCAGAACCGTGTCTGATGGTGAAGTGTTGTTGAAGGCTTATGTTCCATTCGAGATTTCAAGGTTTAAGTCAAGTCAAATATAGGCTACTATACATTAAGGCCATGATCTGGGTTTCGTGATCAGTGAGTACAATGCATTCATGTTTGTTAGTACTATACGTTAAGTTCATGACCTGGGTTTCGGGATCACTGAGTACAACGTATTCGTGTTAGTTAGTACTATACGTTACACTTATGGTTAGCATGTAGCTCGTCAAAAATTATGGGGCAAGTATACCATCCCCACCCCATAGTATAACATAACCTCACATTTCATCGCTAACCAAAACAAACAACTTTTGCAAAATCAAGCTTGACCAACAAAGAGGAAAAAAAGTACAGTCGAGGCAGTCAAACGTCAGTAAATTCCTTTGTGAACCAATAAAAATTAAGATCATTCATGAAATGAATTCGTGGCGTATTCATAAAATAACTATTGGTAAAAATCAGTTAGATTAATAACTTTTAATACATAGAAAAGCCAGTGGATTTTGGTAACATTACGTTCCAACAAATGCTTTTATGTCATGTTCTGTACTGAAAGTATAAAATGAAATATATAGATAACATAACTGGGAAAATATTTGTTGATTCCACAATTCAGAGTTTGCAATCGTTAAATATTATTTTTTATTATTAAAAATGTTAGTGAAATTATTGAAAACAGTTCTTCAATGGCACAGAGTACATGGCTAAAGATTCTTAAACGAGTTCATCTACAAAATGGAGATATAAAGTCTTTTATTCCATTTTTGGTGTGTTTAAATCTATGATTCATTTTCAAAAAATGTTTACACAGCTGAAAGTTCATTAGTTATCGTCACAATTCTATGATCTCTCATACTCAATTCCAGAAGTAAACGAATGTGGTTTCATAACTTCATGCTATAACTGAACACAAACCTTATTACAGCATGGTCTCAGTGCTATTTATTTAAATCAAAGTATAACAAGCATATGCTTTATTTGGGTAAACATGATCAAAGATGCCTTTTGATTGTCATATTTAAAATATCTTGAAAATTAATGAAAGTAAATCAGTTTAAATCAACACCTATTATATGAGTTTTTTATATATTTGTATAATGAGAATGAAATTGTATTGTTACCTAGTGTACGTACTTAGGACTTATGTGAATCTCAATTAGCTACGTTCGTTATTGTGTTACGATTTTCGTTCTGATTTATCTAGGAAACTTGCTTTGATCATATGTTAATACAAGATTATTGATATTACTAGAATAATCATGTTTATTACAATACTTGAGAAAGTTATGTTTTATAGATAGAAATGCCATGAGAAAAGCATTATATCATAGCTTTCTGATTGGAATCTTCCCTGCAATAATGTCTTCCAACTTATGTTTACCAAGTTCATTATTGGCACTTTTAATAATCTGCTTTTTCAACTCGTTCATAATCTTAGGCTTAAACTTGTCAAAAACTATTTTCCCTACTGAGCTTAAAAGAGCATTGATGACATCACCAAAGCTGCCTCCCCCTAAAATATTATCCAATTTAATACTAACTTTGTTGAAACTAATGCTGACCATCATATCATCAGCTAGTTGAAGATAGCCATCTGTGGTCACTGTAAGGCCACCATCTAGAGAAATATCTAAATTATCTATTTGTATAGTTGCTTTACCATCTCCATACAAAGGAAATATTCCAGCAATTTTGCCGTCCAGCTTGTATTTGTTGCTAGTAGCTTTTAAGAAGGGCAGCTTAAGCTTGAAAGATATCTTGAGATTTTGAAGGTCTGCGTCTAAACTTGGGACACTGAAACCAGAGAGTCCAAACACCTGCAAGTTTTGAATGTTTATTTCAACCTGTGCAATACCCTCTTTGATATTCTCTTTTATGTCTCCTATCGTAAGAGGGTCAAGTACCGGTATCTTTAGTTCGGGAACTCCTGTGGGCATCTTGTCCCGAAAGTTCTCCAGAACTACCATAATGTAGTTTCTAAGACTGTCATCGCGTTGAATTACAGGAGTCAATCCTAAACAAAGAAGAAAGATACTGTTTACATAAACTATGGAATGTGTGTGTGTTAGACGTATTTCGTGTTGTGGTGTTTAAAGGCAAGAAATAACATCGTTCTTGCACAGTACATGAACCTTTACTAAAGAAAAAAGTCTTATAAATAGGAAATAATATGTTATTTATGTTATATTTCAGACTGTTCTATTAAAGTCACTACTACAATAGCGAACTAATTTAAATATGCTGTATACCCTACTGCACTTCAATAAAAATATAATTATAACAAAGCTCGCAAATAAATCCTATATGTAGAAGCTATGAAAGTATCAAAAGCTAAACTATCTAAAATCTGTTGAAGTCAGAAATTGAGACATAAAACACAGTAAAGTTTTGCATTACTTTCAAACAAATGTTACTATTTTGGAACCTTCAAATTTTGGTTCCTTGTATATTCTTTTAATATCCATCACACACACAAAATGTCGGTGGCATAGCTGCAGATATTGCACCTTTAAAGGACACAAAAGTATTAAAGAAAAAGCTCCAACATAACGTTGTAGACAAGCATCGTGCTGCAATTGCTCCCAAAATTTCTAAATAGTATTACAGTATTTAGTTAACAGCAATTCAGTTAACAGTTAGCAATTCTAATAAGTTTTAGTTTAAAATATTAATTTTTTATTTTCTGCTCCTTTGCAATTGACGTTTTTGGTGTATGATGCATATTGAAAAAATATGCAGGATGTTATCTTGAATATGACCTTGAATTACCTCAATGATATTGTCACAGATTATGCCCACAACACCTCATTCCAGAACACTAACAATTATATCCTATGTCTGTCTATTTCTGAATAATTTATCTGTAAATCGACTTCTGAATCACCAGGTAGGTGTATGGAAACAGTCTAACATAACAAACTGAACTGTGAAGTAAAAATAATAGTTAAACGTAATTACTCCGATTGTTCAGATGTGCGTGCTGATCAGGGTGGAGAAGGTAGAGACGATGATATTATAGTTCCACGAAATGGAACCAGAAGGTGCATTGCTAGACCACCATCACACTTGACATAATGGAAATTGTCATTTCGCCATGACATTTGACAGCCAGAAGTGGTCTGCTGCTAGAAAGCACATTGTTAGGCATGAATTGGCACCAAAGGGCAATGCTGTCTTAGGGAGGAGCTGACATCATAGTTTGATACCAGAGGGCCTGTTACTATGGTCAAATGCTGTTACTAGGGTTCTATAGGCGTACAATGTTACTAAGGTTATACATACAGATAGTGTTACCAAAATTCTATAGGTGGATTGGGTAGTGTTTGTGTTAGCAGGTGGTGTTACTAGGCAGTGGATAGTATTTCTATAGGTGAACAATATTACCATACTTCTATAGGATTGCATACAGATTTCAACATGTATCAATTTATATTTATAGTTTTCATTTATATACTTAACTGTATTAAATGTGTTTTACAAAGGCAGATGGCGTTTCTATAGGTAGATGATATTACTTGACAAATTGTATTACTAAGGTTATTGCTACTAGGGCGGGTGGTATTTCTATAAAGAGATAGTTAAATAAGGTGATGATTTCATCGTAGGGTGCCCCAACATGTAATTATGACATCAACATTATAGTCTAGATTTAATTATGTGTTCTAAGTGTTACAAGTAAAACCATTGTTTTAATGATACAGCTATTATAACAGTTAAATATGTCAGTTTGTATTAGTATTTAATCTATTCATTACTTGAACAAGGCAAATATTATAGCATGGACCCTTTTACAATTATCTGCCACTTTTTGTGTAAAACAATTGTGTCTTTAAGTATCAATTTAATGCACTGCTTATAATTACGTTTCAATATTTAATTTACAAGACATATTTTTTTGCATTTCCTTACATTTTATATGTAAAATGCTTATTACTACTTCATCTCTATAATAGCTATATTGTATATCATATATTTGTCCTGAGAAGGACATTTTTTTAAATCCCTAAATAATAACACAACATAATGTTTTGGGACATGAGACCTATTGGACCATCCTGGCTGTTCCATCAAAAAATCTTGAAGCCAGCCCTCATCATTCATCTACTTTTCAAGCTTTTTCTTAAACTCACTAAAATTATATACTTTCTGAAAATCCAGGTACACCAAATCTACACCCCTACACTCATCTACATAAGGAGTAATCTTTTCAATGAAAGTAAAAAGATTTCTAAGGCAAGATTTTCCCTTAGTGAAACCATGGGCACTATTCAATAAAATTATAAACTATATTAAATGTCGTTGCAAAACATCTTTTAACAGACTTTCCAAAACTTTTCTCATAACCGATGTAAGACTAATGGGTAAATAATTACTGGGACAATTTTTATCACCTCCTGTAGAATGAGGAGTTACATTAGCTAAGTTCCAATCCTCTGGTACCTGCCCACTATTCACGGAACTGAAAAAAAAATAGTAGTAAGTGACTCACATATCCACTTTTAACTTCCTTCAAAATCTTTGCGGAAATATTATCTGGCCCAGGAGCTTTATCGTATTTAAACTTCCCAATTTGTTCTTAACCAGCTTAGAATTAATGAAGACATCTTATTTGATCTCGTTTCCATTTATCAACTGTTCAAGATGTGGAATACTGCTTAAATCTTCATTAGTAAAAATCTAAGAAAAACCAAAATTTAATAATCTCATAATCATCAGATACTAGCCTTCCTTTATTATCGCTCAAGGGTCCAACCCTCATCCTAACATTTTGTTTACCTTTAATGTATTTACAGAAATCCTTACTGTTAATCTTTACATTTTCAGCCAACCTTTTCTCGTACATCCTTTTTGATGTCCTAATTTCCTGTTTCACCAACTTTTTTGAATTTTTTATAATCTTCTAAATCTTCTGTCATATTAGCCAATTTAAATTTCTTAAATTTATGATGTTTTTCTTTAATTTTATCTCTGGATTTTTACTTGCAGCTACCCATTTCTTTTTATAAGGAATATATTTACCTTGAATATTTAAACCATTTTCACATCTGATCAGTGTATCTAAATAATTCAGCTACCCAATTCACAACAGGTAATCCTTGTCGCATCCCTTCAATATATGCTTTTTGAAATTTGTAACCAAACTATCATTATTCCTTATCTCCATATGCAGCAAAACATCGAACCTAATAGAGTAATGATCACTTGCACCCAGATGTTCCCCAATTTCCAGCCTCTCGATCATTTTTGTATTTGAACTTAACGATAAATCTAAAATAACTTTGTTTCTAGTAGGTTCCTTGACTAATTGGTGAAGAAACCCATCCTGACCAGTTTCAAAAACCTTTGTCCCTGATGGTTTTACTCCAGAATTTCCCAATCTATATTCCTGAAATTAAAATACCCCCTAACTACGACTTCATGAACAGCTGAAATCTTAATCTCATTGCAAAGTTGCTAACTAATTTCATCAGTATCATTTGGTGGTCTGTAACAAACCCCCACTAAAAGCCTTTTCCCTTTATATCCACTAATAGAAACCGAAATGAATTCAACCTCCTTGCTATTAACTTTAACAACACTTAAGTATAGTTTATCTTAACCATTTCTAAAGGATAACATCTCAAACACCTTTTTACATAACGCTCTCGTTTCCGGCCGTGTTTCACCAGAAACGAGATACACTTACAACAGTGCACTGAAATATATACAAAAACACTTTGATGACGTCACTCAACTACCTTTATATATCACTTACACAGTTACATCATTATCCCAGTTTACCCCTAAAGAAGAAAGCTCCACCTTTAGAAAGCGCTCGGATTATAGGGTTTTTATCGTTTTATATTACGACTTCTTGAACCTACGTATTTTTCTGACATCACGAATACTTTCTATTTGTTTAGACTACCCTACTGACCTATGTTCTTTAATAATATACCAGTCAGTGTCCTTAACCTCAACTGAGAATAAACCTGTTCTATTGTCGTGCAATATTTGAGCATAATAAAACTAATATATTTCATGTGATATATAAAATCACTGGCTGTAACTTTAAATATTAGTTTCTTCTTATATGTATATTGAGAATCTGTCATAGAATGTGTTAAATATGTTAATATCACATCACACTATCATTGGAACAATGTGTAGTGTGAATATCATACTGGATATTTTCAATATGATGATATACATGTAAGTTCTGTGATCTCACGACAAAGATATAATCTAGAAGAAAAGACATATCTATCCTTTTGCATGAAATTGGTTTAAAAAGAGTGTTCATATAAATTCACATAAAAACATCTCAGGCATTTACTGATGTGATTAGATTTATCGTCAGAAACTGCTTTTCAAATACCATGGTTATTATAATTAAGTTGAAGTTAAATACCTTAATTAAGTATGTAAATAATGTTTTGACTGAGACTTTGTCAGACTTCCAGCTGACACAACGAGCTCTGATACTCGGCAAAAGGTCTTGTTGGCAATGGCGTACATTGCAAGGTGCATACAGTCCAGATGTTGCTGCATTTCTCCTCATTGGAATCTCATAGTAAAGAAAGACTTCTTGAGAAATATAATCAGTCTTATTGCCATGCTTTCGGACATTCCTGCAACTCAATAAAGTCGTTATACATTTGTCGTAGATTGAGCATAAGTTTTTGTTTTTTTCTGTGACTCTCAATACTATACAATGGAAACTACATCACCCACTAATGAAGTGCTTGTCTACATTTTACGTATACTTGGCCACGTACTCAGATGGTCTCCCATGAGACCTCGAGGCTGCAATCAAATACAGGTCCCTGAATGTTTGTCATTTCACCAACGAAAATATACAGTGCATTATATTTTGAAGTTTTGTTAACAAACATTTCAGTATTGAAGTTTTGTCAATAAATGTTTCACTATGTGTGATACTTAAGTCTATGATCTTATTTACATATATTTATGATAACATATTGGTATGATGAGACATGAGTTTTATAAACAATAAAACATAGATGGAGACTTGTATTAGTTGTTCTTTTTAGGAAGTGAAATTCATGGTGTGTAAGTTAACATAAAAGACACATAACTGTCTGGCATCTGATCTGTAGTCTGAACAGACTGAATTATCAATGTAAGATGAGTATAAGTTATATTTTCCGACTGACCCTATTTGAACTTTTGACTGGTTGCTGTATGTTGGGTGTAGTTTAATCTTATTGAGTAGTGATCATAAAATGTCTTTATTATAAAGTCTGATGAACTCAGTAAAATATCAGAATTGTACAGTAATTCTTTTGTTCATAAACTATATTAAAAATCTCATTTACTGAACTGAAATGAACAAATAGTAATATAGACGTAATATGCAAATGTTGTCTGAAAGCTAATCCAGTATTTTATGAACTATGATGTTTATATAAATAATATACTAATGTATCTTGAAGTTTCGTCAATAAATATTTCAGTATGCTTGTTAAGTCTGTTATTTTACTTATGTATATTAATGATAGCATATTGGGCTATGAGAAAATGTAAATTATTTTTAAAGAAAATCACAGAACACTGATTTGTAACAGACGATTAATATATACTTGATGATCTTTCTAGAAGTTTTAAGTGAAAGATAATGCATGTTACCAAAATATTGTCTCAAAATATGCGTGACGACAATTTTGAAATGTAAAATAGTTTTCAGAGCTTACAAAATGAAATCTTAAAAAGTTTGGTTTCCATTGAATCCTTTATTCATTTATCTATGTGGTGACATGACTTTAGTACAATGTCTTGTGATAACTTCAGTGTTTGTTATATCATTTTGTTACACATAGACTAACTGAATTAGTAATATGGACAGTATTTTATAAGCTAAGATGTTTATAGTATTGTAGTTATATTAAATGTTTGTTAATAAATGTTTCACTCTGCTTATCAAATCTGTGATTTTACATTTTTGTTTTAATGATAAACAGTAAATATTCGGTGACGAGGAACCCACTTTGAGATTAATAATGGCTGGAGACGGCTTAAAGAACTAATAAAGAAAAACTTTAATATAAGTTTAACATGACAGCAAATGTACAACGTTTCGACAAGGTTAGGTTAGGTTAGGTTAGGTTAGGTTAGGTTA